CATTTTCACAAGCTCCCCAGGTCCCGCTGAACCGCAGCCTCCACCTCTCTGAAACCCCTGCACCGGGACCCTCCCATTCTGGCCCCGAGACCTCTGAACCTCGTCTGTCCATGGGCTCCAGGACTGAGAGAAAGGGCGAGGCAGTGGATGCCCCAGGGAAACCTGCCTTCTGTGACCCAACCACAGAAAGAAGGCAAGAGACCTGGCTGTGCTGGCGAGGGCCCCAGAGTACAGGGCCAGGAGTTTACAAGGTTGCTGCTGGCTGGGCCTGGCTGTTCTGATGCCCTGGGCAATGCTGTCATGCAGGGAGCTGTCCGCCTGATGGAGCCTCTTGGCTGACCAGGGGAGGCTGCGAGGCCAGGGGCACTGGTCTTCCCCTCCCCCACCCCCTTATGATCACTGAATGTTAGTGGAAGGAAAGGGCTTTAGAAGGCGGACTGGAGTTGGAGTGAAGACCCTCAGGTTGCAGTCCAAGTGCTGCCCCCTCGGTGCTCCGTGACCCCCAGCAACTCAGTGGCCTCAGCTGTAAAAGAGGGCTGATGGCCTCTGTCCAGCCTGCTTCTGCCACAAGACACGAGGATTCCAAGGGCAGTGACGCAATGCGGTGAAAGGACCAGGTCCACGAGACACATGTTAGAGGATTACTATTATTACTGTTAAAAATAACAAACAGCTTCGAAGTTGGAACCCGGAGGCTCCAGCAGAACCCAGCCACTGCCAGCCAGCTGCCGCCTTTCAGATTGAGACGCAGATACAGGGGGCAGAGAGGAAAGGCCGCTCCCGGAGGCGTCTTTCTTAGAATCTCCTTGTCTCCTCTTCTCCTTCTGAGCCCCAGTTCTGGTCCACACCTGTTTCCAATCTGTAATATTGCTAACTTGGTATTTGAGATGAAGTCAACCCACTTTTTAATTCTTTTTTTGGGAGGGGGAGGCATTTATTTTATTTATTTTTTTATTTTTAAGTGGACGTACTGGGGATTGAACCCAGGACTTCATGCCTACTAGGCATACACTCTACTATACCCTTTCCCTACTCTTTTTTTGGCAGAGGAAGCAAAGGATATTAAGTTTATTTTTTGTTTAGTGGAGGTGCTGGGAATTGAACCCAGGACCTCAGGCATGCTAGGCACGTACTCTACTACTGAGCTATACCCTCCCCACCACTTTTGCATTCTTAAATCAATGTCTACCAGAAACATGACTATTAATGTAAACCCCACTCCCTCATGAGATGAGGCATGATTGTTAAAAATGTGGGCATCCTAGCAAAAGTGATCTCAGGTCCTTCCTGTGGTTTCTGCTCTGCAGCTTGGAGAGCCGTGACTACCGTCAACACTTCGAGACCACATGCAGGTGTCAGAATCCGTGCTCAGTGTGTTTACACACATAAGGCAACGGACTCGGATTCAATCCAAGCCTTGGGGCCACTTTACAGGTGACGCAGCCAAGGTTCATGGAGAGATTAAGTGACTTTCCCAAGGTTCTCAATCAGGAAATGGTAGGACTGGGGACCAACGAGGACCCTTGGACCCCAGGGCCAACAGACTTGGCATCTTTGATAGCATTTAGCACAGGAGTTGACATGACGGTGGCCACAAGGGAGTTTTTGAATGAGGAAGGCAACCTCAGGGAAATGGGGCCCCACAGTTGAAGGAACACAGGGTTAGAACTTGAACGTCGGGGTTCCGTTTGGATCAGTGGCTTTCCAGTGGTGTTCATGAACCCTCTCCCCCCTCCCAAGGGCCAGTTGAGGGGCTGAAATGATGGATATTCAGTTTTTCTACTTTTTCTTTATCAAGGGCAGGCCCTCCCCCATAAACTTTTTATATTGTGATTTTGATTAAGATTTCATTAGGGAGAGAAGAAAAAAGGATTCCTTTGCTAAAACCAGGTGTGAAGAGCTCAGCTTTGCACAGCCTTCCAGGCTCCCCCAGATCTCATCCTCTGTGATTTTGTAATTAGAGCGTGGGCGGGCACTACCCCTTCCTGGCTGTGTGGTGTTGGATAAGTCAGTCAACTTTCTGAGTCTGAGCGCCTTTGTCTCTAAAATGGGCACAAGGAGAGAACCACCACTTAATTTCCAGCTCACTACACGAAGCATTCTGCAGGAGCATGGGACTGGGGAAGTCGTGCAGTCATCACACGTTTCTTAAGCGCTAGCTCTGGGCTGCACTCTAGCTAAGTCGTGGAGACGCAAAGAGCCATCGAGCACAAGGTGCAGTAAGAAACAGACAAACTCGGGCGTCCGGCCTCCTGGGAGAGAGATAAATAGGCAGGAGTTTTAATGCAAAAGTGATGTGTGTGCTGACGTAAGCATGGTGGAGGGTCATCTCACCCAGCCTGGTGACGGGGTGGCAGGAGAAGGTGGGGGCGGTAGGAAAGTGACATCTAGCCTGAGTCTTAAAGCGGAAGCGAACGCAATAGTGATACTAGGTACATGTATTTCATTCACACAGGATTTTAATCCCACAGAGCTAAGTCTTCTGAGGTTCCACTTCCCCTTTTGTGCAAGGATCTTGTAGAGACAAAAGTAAATGCAGAGTGTACTGTTGGGTCAATGTTATGTACTCTGTTAATGAGGTCTGCTGCACCCTTTTTGCAAACAAATATTAATTCAACCAACAAATGTGGGAGGCCTGGTCCCCTTGAGAAAAATCAACACTTTCAGAAGCATCTCCTGTGGGAGCCCAGAGGGCCCTCTGAGTGTCTCAAGTCCAACAACATGTTTGCACAGATGAGAAAGCTGGGAGCTGGGGAGGCGAGGTGTCTTTACCAAGGCTAGCAAGTACAGGAGGCAGGTTTAGGTCTGGGGCTTCCTCTGAAACTGCAGGTTCCCAGGCCTCTGGTTGGGGAAAGGCGGTGCGTGCAGGGGACGTGCCCAGGTCTGCTCTCTGAGGGCCAGAGGTTGAGTTCGTCATGGATTTCATTCAGTGATGGGTGCGTGTGTCTGTGTCAATTTCTGGGCTGTGTGCTGAGGGTACAGAGAGGAATAAACCACTCCTCTTGCTTTAAGGAGCTCCTAGGGCAAACATGCGGAGAGTGTCAATTCAAACCACGAGTAAGTATCAGTGGAATAATGTTCAAAGTGTTTTGAGAGCAGTACTTGCATGTGAAGTTTGGAAAAGACACAGGCTTTGAAGTCAGGCACACCTGGATTTCAGTTCTAGCTCTGCCACTCACTGTGGGGCTTTGGGAAAGTTACTTAACGTCTCTGAGCCTCAGTTTCTCTAGAAAATGGGGAGAGTAACAACCTACCTATGGGCATTGATGGATGAAAAGCACACCAGTAAGACACGACTGCGAAGTGCCTGGTTCAGTGCGTCACCATCAGCTATCAGAACTTGGCCAAGACACCCAACTTCTCCACGTCTCCAGGAGCTTCGAGAGTTCTCATCTGCATGTGAGGTGATGGGAGTGAAATCTGCTTTGTGAAACTGTGACATGTTAAGCAACAGTGAGTTATCACTCTTTGGATCCTTAGCAAGTCCTAATTAGGACGGAGAAGGCGATATAGCAGGGTGGTTTGTCAGAGTCCGGTGAGTAACCACGGGCTGGAAGCCAGGGCAGCCTCTCTGATCCTGCGCCCCTCTCATCCACCGCCCTCTAGAGCCTCCAGACGGTTCCCTCCCATCACCTGAGACCTAAACATACTCTGAATCAGGACCGGCAGACCCTGGGCTTGGCTTCTTTGTCCATCAGTCTGCTGGGAGGGGGGACTTGCCATCAGGCCTGAGAAAAAAAGCCAGGCATGCTTGGAATGCAATTGCAAAAGAGGTTACAAGAGCCTGGCCAGAATGCTGAAATCAAGTGATGTCGAGAGGTTTTGTTATTTTTGAAAAAAATGACTCATTCTGAGAAACCCTAATGGCCTCACAGAACATTCACCTAGTTGCCTGTATGTATAACCCAGAGCCCACTGCAGAGAAAAACAAATCCTGTTGTCACAGCTGAAGGGGGGTGGGGGGGGCAGGGAGGGTTGGAGGTGGGAATCAGGGTGACATTTTGATGGAGGAAGAGTTTCAAGATAACTCCTGCCCTCTGAGTGGACTGTTTTAATTTCCCAAGGCCTTTCCCCTAAATTGCGTCATTCCAGTCATCACCAAAGCATCTCCTTGGAGGTAACTCGTGTTCTCTGGATTGACCTGAGCTGACCAGGGGAGGCGAGGTTGTTCCCATTTGACATACAAACGAAGTAGGTGCCCAGAGAGTTTAAGCTCTTTCCTCAAGATGAGGGATAGGGGAAGGGGGGTTGAGAGAGGAGGAGGAGGAGAAGGCCCATGAATAAGAACCAGAATGAGAACCATGCTTGTTTTGTAGAGAAACACTGTGAAGGGCTGGTTTCAGCGAGGGCACCTGCTGTCCTCTGACTGCAGGATGCTCAGGAGAGCACAGGGACAAAAGCCAGGAGATGGGCCCCTGCCTGCCTCTGCCCTTAATCAAATGTGTGACTTTGGGGAAATCTGGCCCTTTACCGAGTCTCTACTTCCTGTCTTTAAAGGCATGGGGGTTGGTGGGTGGGAGGGAATCGAACAGACTCAGAGCTTCTAAAATCTAGTAGGCAAAAGAATGTTCTGGAACATTGTTACAATACAGATTGCTGGATCCTTCTCCCGAGATTCTGATTCTGAAGGTCTGGGGAGGGACCAGGGTATCTGCATTGCTAGCAAGCTCCCTGGTGGGACGGCTGATTGGTCATGGTCCCCACTTGGAGCATCCTGGGGCTGGATGATCTTGAATGTCCTTGTCATTTCTGCTGTTCAGTGATTCAAAACCCTCAACAACTTCTGGTCACGGAGAGCTGTACCAGGTGCTGGGCATAAAGACACAAACCAGGCATGGTTTCTGTCCTCTGGGTCTAGCCCTCTAGGCAAGGACATCACGCAAGGCACGTGGGGCACATGCAGAGATGGGCGTGGTCAGCGGCCCATGTGGGAGGCAGGTAGGGCTCCGAGGCGGAGCATGCTGGGTGAGCCTTTGGGCTGAAGTTGTCACTAACTGGGAGGACGTGTTAGGGGATGACTCCTGGGTAGAGAGCAGTGCGGCTTTTTTAAATAGTCCACAGAGAAAGCTTTGGGTAAATGGTCTTTGCATGTTAGTTCTGCCCTTCAGGAGCTGCCAAGCACAGCTTCAGCTGTTCTCCATCTGCCCGGAGGGTCTGGGGAAACCAGAGGAGGGGGCTCCTGATGGGTCAGCATCCCTGGGGACCACAGTCAAGTATGTATGTATGTGTGTGTGTGTGTGTGTGTGTGTGTGTGTGTATAACACACTCACAGTTGATCCTCGTTATTTGTGAATTCTGTGTTTGTTGATTTGCTTACTTGCTAATATTTGCTTGTAACCCCCAAACCTACACTCGTGGCTCTTTCACAGTCATTCAGGGACACATACAGGGCAATGAAAACATCCGACTTACCCAACTCTCATGTTCCCACCTGAACGGTGCTCTGCCCTCATGTCTCAGCTCCTTTACTGTAAACATGGGTCTTTTTGAGGTCTATTTAGTGCCATCTTTTGAGCATTTTTGTGTTGTTCGTGGGTGATTTTGCTGTTTAAAACTGCCCCCAAGCATGGTGCCTTAGCGCTGTCTAGTGTCCCCAAACACAGAGGCCAAGAGGTGCCTTATGGGGGAATTAGGTGTATTGGCTAAGCTTCTTTCAGGCATGGGTTATAGTGTTGGTGGTCATGAGTTCAATGTGAACGAACCAACAATATATATTAAACTGTCTTTAAACAGAAACACATATAAAGTAAGGTTATATATTGATGGGTTGATGAAAATGTTGTGACCAGAGGCTCCAAGGACCCTAACCTTCTATTTTTCCTGGGAACAGTGGTGCAGCAATAACTAAATCAGTGTTCATGGCAATTTTATAAAACATAACAACCGTGAATAATGAGAATTTGTGTGTGTGTGTGTGATGAAGCCACCGCTAAATATTTCTTTTGCTCAATATTACAAATTAGTGTATTTAACAAGATAATTCAGGTTTGCAGCAAGAATTTAATAAAATCCAAACATCCAGGTAAATTTTGGAAGCATTCTTACTAACCCTAACTGGAAGCAATCGTTACCCAGTTTAGCCATCTCCTCTTCTGCCTGGGTTAGAGCAAAAGGCTTCTTTTTATTCATCCCGAACTCTACCTCAGCTTTCATACCCAGCTGAATTCACAACATCTCACCAACTTGGTTTAGATACAAGTTTACATCGAACAGATCTTGGTGTCACAATGTAGCTGAATGTGACTTCAGTGTAGATCATCGGACCATTTAAAATTGGTTATGATTTTGGTTTTATCCCTGTGATTCTGACACCAGTTCCGATGTGTGTTTTTTCCTGCATCACTAAGCAATTCTCCGAGACGCCAGCTGGGAGATTTAACTAAAATTTAACTAAATTCTGACACGGTCTACTGCTATGGGAGGTAGCACCAGATCTCACAGGCTAAGGGCTCAGTCCCACAGGACTGCCCCCACTTCAGATGTTTATTGCAAGCCCAGGTTGCTACCTGTGCTTCTGACTGACTGGCAATGAATCCGACGTTCCCATGACTCTCTCCTTGGGTCTGATTAATTTGCCAGCGTGGCTCACAGAACCCAGGAAATCAGTTTGCTCACTAGATTACCCGTTTATTACAAAGGATATTAAAGGATCAACAGTCAGATGGAGAGACACACAGGGTGAGGTCCCCAGTGCAGGAGGTTCTGTCCTTGTGGAGTTTGGAGGCCAGCACCATGGCACGGGGATGTGTCCTGGTTCATCGACCTGGAAACTCTCATCAGGCCCATCCTTTTGGATGTTTATGGAGCTTTCCTTACATCAGCAGGATTGATTAAATCATTGCCTTAGGCCGTTGAACTCAATCTCCAGCCCTCCTCCCCTCCCCGGACGCTGGAGGGTGGGGCTGAAATTTCCCACCCTCTAATCACCAGGGGCTGGTTCCCCTGGCAACCAGGCCTCATCCTTTGGTGCAGTAGGGGCTTTCCCAAAAGTTACCTCACTTAAATAACAAGACACCTTGATCGCACTCTTCACTTAGGAAATTCCAAGAGTTTTAGGAACTCCATGTGGGGAACTAGGATGAAGACCAAAACTACATTTCTTCTTATAAATCCCAGTCGCATCTGTACGACTTAGTTCCTGCACTTGGTAGACTGCCAGTTTTTGCCATGGAGGGACAGATGGCACATGGGCTTGCGATTTCCTTGGGGTCTGATTCGTGGGCAGGGAAACTGCGGAGCAGTGACCCCCCAAGCCCCCCCACCCCATCCCTCCAGGCTAAGGCAGGAAGTCTGCTTCCCGTGCCTTCCCCACCGGTCCGGGCCTAGCCCTCCGCCCTGGCCCCTGGGCCACGTCAGCCCTTCCCAACTCGTTTCCGAGAAATGCGCTGAGACCAGGAAAGGACCCTTCAGGCCTTCACGGAGTTGGAAGTGGACGCGATTTCCTGGGAACCAGGGCCCCGGGGCTCGGCGGCCTTCAAGGACCGTGAGATCCCTGCCTCCCACGGGACGTGCCGCGCAGGAGGTAGTCCTTGGGTGCTCCCGGGCCCCTGACTCCTCCCCGTGGGTCCCCGGGGACCTTGAGGGCCAGCGGAGCGAGAGGAAGCGCTGAGGCTGAAGGAGTGAGGCGGCTGGCTGCCGGCCCACATAAACACGCTCCATCACTGTAAATTATTTACGCGCCATATGGAGGCTGGACTGGCTCCTTGACGGGTGCGTTAATTAGAAGCCCGAAGATCCAGCCTTGGCGCAGTGGAGAGGAGGGGAGGGAGGCTGTTCACTTTCCCTCAGCATCCCCTGATTAGAAACCTGCAGTGTGTACCGCCCCACCTCCTCCCCAGGAAGAGCCTGAACTCTGTAGCCCAGTGGGCAAGGCCTCCTTCCAGACGCAGCTCCCACACCAGCCCTGGGCTTCAGGCACGAAGACGTCTCACTGTTCTGTGCGCGGCTCCCACCTCCAGGCCTCTGCGTCATGTGCCCTCCCCCCTGCCTGGAATCCCTTCTCTTTCTCAGCATCCTTTAAGGGACAACTCAGTTGTCACCTCCTCTGCATGGCCTCCCCCCTCACCCACTAGAAAGTGGAACTTGCTTCTTTCTTGTGCCCCAGAGCTCTGCACATCCTACTTAGCAGTGGGGCCTCCGGTCTGAGCTCAGACACCAGCTGCATCCGTTGCTGATAAATCTTGTGTTTCCTCAAGTGAAACCTAAGACAGTGATGCTTTAGGGTCTCCCTAAAGCTCTGTGGGGATAAATACACAGCTTGACACAGTGCTTCACACGACAAATGACATCTCATTATTATTATTATTGTTGTTGTTGTTATTAATATAGTGCTATTTCTCTCAGTTGTAATCACTTCCATCATAAGCCTCGCTCTTACTAGACTCTGTCCTACTGGAGTACACGGGCCACAGTCTTGCTCATCTCTGTCAAAAAACAAAGTGAAGATCTAATTGGCCTTATTTAGCGACTCATGAATTAGGCACGTCCCATCCGGTGAATAGACAGGTGCTCCAAGGGGTTGGGCGCAATGGAAGGCTTTTATAGGCCAGAGGAATTTGCAAAAGAAAAGACTGCTTCAGACCCCAATGTCTTCTTTTGGAGAAAGGGACCAGCGAGGGTCTTTATCACGCACGTTGCCTCTTCTTCTTTTGGAGGGAACACGGAGAGGACCCATGGGATAGATTAGCTCATGGGTGCTGCCCGGAAAATTCCAGACTGGCCGATTAAGATTACATTTCTGGAGAAGGTCGAAACAGCAATTAGATCAGGCTTTAAATCCAGATTTGGTATCATTGGATTTAGCACAAGCGACCTGGACCTGCTGTTTTCTCTTTAAATATCTCTAAACCTTTTGCTTCTGGCCCAGTGCCGGGGGCACTTAGTAGGTGTTCAATAAAGAGTATGTATTCAATAATAGCACACGTGTATCATAGCCAACATCTACTGAGTGCTTACTATCTGCTAGGCTGTGTTCTAAGCCTTCACATAAATTAACTCATTTAATACAATAGTCCTATGTGATTGCTGTTTATCTGTATTCTCATTGAACACATGAGGAAACCAAGGCACAGAGGGCAGAAATAACCCATGCAAGGTGACGTACTAGAGCTGAGATTCAAATCCAAACAGATTCAGACCTCAGTTGTCCCACTGCCTCTCACAATGTGACATTAGCAGCCCAGACTGGGTGTTCTCTGTGAGTGCCTGGCACCGGGTAGGTGCTCAGTGAATGTTGAATAAGTGTTTGGAGTCTTTGTATGTTTGATGGCCCGGACTAAAGGCAAGCAAGCCACAAAGATCAGCTATTAAACAGGGTGAAAGTTTCTATTTGCTAAGCTTATCTCTAGAAAATGTTTTTCTAGAGTCTCCCATCCTGTGTGTTCTTCCTGAGCTGGCCTGCTCTAGACTCAGCACGTGACCTTCCGGAGCAGAGGAGCAGACTGTGTCTCCCAGACAGGCCTGTGTTGCTGCCCCACCGCCACCCGCCCTGCAGGTTGCAGACCTCTTTCCTCTGCCTGGAATGTTCCTTCCTTTTCCTCTTTCCTGCACCTTCCCCACTGACACCGTGATCCATCTGGAAAACTCTTCCTATTCCTTGAGGTCCAATTCACATAGACTCTCGCCTGGGAAAGCTTTCCCACTGGCTGTGGTCTTCCTTAGCGCTCCCACACTCAGCACACGTCTAAATGATTTGTATTCACATGTCTGTGTGATCCTGACAAAGTGGTGAATGGCAAGGCCTTTCGTGCCAGACCCTTTCTGTCTGGCTCTGCCACCATGTACAAGTCTCCCAGCCTGAGCCTCACTTTCCCCATCTGTGAAATGGTGCCAATCAGGGTACCTACTTCACAGGGCTTTGTGCCCATTAAGTGGAAGAGCATGCATGGAGCGCTCAGTCATGTGATGTGAACAGTGCAGGGGCTGCATACCTGCTCCTCTACTCTTACTCTTCTACAGTGAACCCTGTGTCTTTGCATCTCTAGTGCCTGGCACAAAGCAGATGCTCAATAAATAAAAATGCAACTCAATTTCAAAGAAGTGAGCATTTATCAAGGACCCATCAGGCACCAAGGGCTAGGTATGCAAAGATGAGTGGCAGCTAAAGATCAGGATGCCTTTGTATAGAGATAGCCGATAAGAGACAGGATGATGCCAATATGGTACTTTCACCTGTCCATTAAGGCATTTGTTGTGCCAGGCTCTGGGGAGACAGAGGTGAATAAAATGTACTCCTGGTCCTCGAAGGGACATGACTGGGTACATAAAACTTAAAACACAGGCAGATGACTGCTGTCCTAGAGGCATGGACAAAGTGGACTCCAGGCTCAGGGGACAGAGCCACTGGATTGAGGGTTAAGTTTGTAAAGGACGGGGGAGGGGGCTGGATGAAACGGGCTGTGCCTTTGCGCAAGCTGGCCCTTTTGCCTGGGACGTCTTTCCTTCTTATCCTTCCTGCCTCAGATGATGCATCCGCTCCTCAGTGAATCCCCCTCGGAAAGCCCGCATCCTCATCACTATCACTGCACCTTGTTCATTTCTTTTCAAGCACCAGCCATGGTCCTTAGTGAATAAAATGAGGAAGGGAAAAGGGAAACTAACATTTCTTGAATACCTGCTATATGCCAGGCACTGGGCTCTTCAGTTGACGAAAGCTATTTAATTAATTTCCCCAATGCTCCAGAGGTGTCCGTGTTATTTTCCTCATATGGAAGACTGCTAGAGAGGCTCCAAGAGGGCAAATGCCTTTGCCCAAGGTCACTGGCCAGGAAGTGGTGGAACTGGACTTGAAAATCAGGGCCGGCTGCCTCCCCACACCCTTGATGCTTTCATGGTACCAGGAGAGGCCAAGTAGGCAAGAAAGGAACGGAATGATTCATTCACTGCCCCAGGCATTTTCAGCAACAAGTAATTGATTTCCCTAATTCCCAGTCTGCTGTTAATAGCGAGTTGTGGTCGTTCGGAAAAAGGCTGCAGAAAAATAGGTTTTCTTCTTGACTCAGCAGCACCATCTGCAGGATATGAGGGAACACTGCAAAAACGATCAGGGGCGAGAGGTCTCTGCTGGAGGGGATTCTGAGAAGGGACCTGAGACATCATCTAATGATCTATGATCTTTAAAAAAAAAAAAAAAAGCAAATTGAGACAAGAACAGGAACTTACTCAAAGTCACATGTTAGTGATATCAGATTTGAAGCTGTATTTCTTCTGACTCCCAGTTCAGTACCCTCTTCCCTCCCACTCACCCTCCTTCTTTCCCTCTCCCCTTTCGTTCTTAGTCTGTCCCTTTGTCTCTCTTCTTTCTTGCTGTCTCTCTCTCATTTGGTAGGCATTCACTGAGCACTCAGTATGCCTTGGGCATATTCCTTCTTGTGGAATATAAATATTGACAGTGAAAATTTGCCTTTTAGGGTCACTGTTTAATTATTGATTAATTGCCAGTAACAACATACTTCATCATTACAACGAAGACATACTGCACGTTAGTGTGCATCAGGCACTAGGCTGAAGGCATTATCTCAGCGGGTCCTCATAGATGAGGAAACGGAGGCTTACAGAGGTTTGGGAACGCGCCCAGTGTGGTTCAGTAGTCGTGGAGCGGGGATTCAGACCCGGATCCTTCTGACCTCAGAGCCAGAGATCTTAATCACTATGTTTTATTTACTCTTTAAAGTATCTACGGTTAGTACAAGAAGAAGCTGTACTCTAATTAGGACGTTGCTCCCATTTAAAACAATTACTTACTTCCTGTGTAAGTGTGGTGCTGACTCTTCTCAAATTCATTGCTTCTGAAATCTCTAGGAGTTTATACTGAAGTTCCACCCTGCCCCAGGCACTATGCTAGGTGCCAGGGACACTAAAGTGACTATAACTCAGCTAGAAGCCTGTGGCCTTAGAGATGGCAGTCTTAAGACACAGTAATCAGCAAGATGTTCCCAAAGAAGTGCTGCACAACTCCAGGGGGCGCCATTCACACCACAGCTGATGGAAGCAGAACCTCCTGATTTGAGTAGTGTGCTGCCTGTGGGACCGTATATGGTGGCCCTGAGCCAGTGGGATGGGAAGGAGGGACAGGGACAAGGGGGTGAGGTGTGGGGAGCAATCATTTCCACCTCTGCAGGGTAGGCAGCTTCATGGCAGAGGGCACTGGAGTGTGAAGGCTGCCAGAGCTGTACAGACTTTGATTTCCTGTTCTCTTCGCCTGGGAGGTAGGGTCAAATTTTGAGGGAATACGTCTCTGCGTTTTGACCTGCAGAGCAGACAGTATATTTTGGTTTCCATTTCTGCATTAGCTCCCAAGTTGCGTTTTGTTTTCAGTTCCCAGGAAATTTACCCTCATTCTCATTTTGGGGTGGATGGATAGTTTGTCTCTCTTGGGGTGGTGGATTGCTGAAATTGGACCTCCCCGATTGCAGTAGCACGTCTAAAACCAGATCAAGTGTGGGCACCCTTGCAGCCGTTTAAGGACTTCTTTGCCAAAACCATGGGAAAATGAACTCACTGCCGTCCCAGAGAATGGAGCGTTCATCCCATAGGCAACAGCACCCCATCTCTCCGCACTTCCCCTCACTCTCATCACCTCTAAGAGCATTTTGTCTGTGTATGTGCAATTTCATTTTGTTTAACTTATAGTAGAAAAAAACAAGAAGCACTTTTTTCATTTTCCAAATATAAAATTATTTCATTAATAATGATTATACTTTGAAGATACTAATTCAGACCCCTCCAGGGAGGGCATGGTGACAATCGCAGGACTGCGTTGGGCCAGTTACTGGAAGGATGCCCAGGATGCAAAGATGTAAAGGACAAAAAGACCTGCTCCTGAACTAAGGAGCCCTTACTCTGCTGCTGGTCCTGCAGCCGCAGGAATGACCACTGTGGGGAAGGATGGTAGTGATGAAGGATGAGTGAGGAAGACGGGGAGGCACCCCCCAGCACCCCTTTAATGGCAGAGCAAGGAGATGGGGGAGAGACTCTCTTCCATTCTGCCCTGGGAGAAAGATGCAGATCAGCCTCTTGGTTTCACATTGATTTGGAGTCAGAAGGTTCCTTGCTTTCCGTGTTGTGGGCTAAGTGATCAGTCTGGGACCACAATTGGCCAAGATAACCTTGCTTCTATGGGAAAATGAGTTCTCAGGTCCAAACAACTGTCTTAGAAATCGACTATTGGAACATGTCCCTTTGTTAAGTTGAAGTGCCCCTGTGAAAAAAGCTATGGGCTGGGAATTCTGATGCCTGGCTTCCAGGCTGCCCCTCCCCAGCTGATTTTGGGCAAGTCATGTCATTTTCCCCTTTGCGACCTCGCCTGTAGGATGAGGAGCTGGGCTGGATGGATTGCCACGCTCCTTTGGAGTCTGAGACTTCAGGACTTCTGAGCCTCTTTGTTGTGCTACTTTCATTTCTGGCATACGTCCGCATTTCTCACTAAACAGACAGCTTCTTCGGCCCAGGACTTGTGGGCTCCAGATCCGTCTGTCTCTCCTCTGTGTCCAGGGAGGCCCTGGACCACTGCTGAAGGGCATCAGGAAGGGAGAAACCGGGGTGTTTCTCCTCCCCTCTGCTTTCAGACGTGTCTGGCAGAGGTTGTATTTCTTCCTTGGCTCTGGCTCCTACCATGGTCCCAGCTTCTTTGAGGGTGACGCCAGGCCTTGGGTTCCTATGATCCTGCTGCCCCCGTCCCTCTAGCTAAGGGATCTCCTGCTATTGTTAATCTCCAGGTCGCTCCATGATTTCCTGGTGGGCTCTCCACCTTTCGTCACTCATGTCACCCATTTTCCATGTTAATTTTCACCTGGTCCAAATGCTTCATTTCTGTTCACTTGGTTGGACTTTGACAGAGACATTCAAACTTTTGTTGGCTTTACCTTATAACAGCCAGCAATAAAGATGGTGACGGTACTAATGTGGATGATTATAACCCCTTACTTGGTGTATAACCTCACACAGTACAAAGCTTTCACTCAGGGTTCTGTAATCTGAGTCTCATAATAACAGTGTGACGTGAGAAAGGCATTTATCATTAATTCCACTTCACAGAAGAGGAAATGATCTCACTGAGCTCACACAGCTGATATAGAGCTAAAACCAGAACCCAAGGCTTTTGATGTCTCATCTAGCTTTCTGTCCCTTTACTTTTCATCATTATCCCACTTACCCCACTGGAATGGTGACTTAATGCTGGTCATTCAGGATGGTGTTTTCTTAAGTGGGGGGCATAAGCCATCAGTCGACGGTGTGTTAGTTATCTATTGCTGTATAGTGAGTTACTCCTGCACTTTGTGGTGTAAGAGAGCATCATGGAGGTGGTCCATGCATGCATTGAGGCTTTCTCCATCCCACGTTTTCTGGCTTGATTGTTCACTCAGAACTTGACGAGTGGGTTCAGCCTGGGAGGGCTGTGAGGTTGTACTTTCCAATAATTTGAAATGGGGTCTGGCTGTGGTGTGATGAGGGGCTGGCTGATGTTTGCTCTGGGTAGCGTGGAAAACCCAGGCTTCTGCCTCTAACAAAAGGGCAAGGGCAAGAGGATGAAGCCTAAACTTATTCGTATTAAACTCATTACATAGGAAAGACCACTGTGTCTTTCTCTCCGTTCGTATTCTTCACCCAGTCTAGTGTTTAACATGACACTAGAAGGCAAGGTAGATCTCTGTATTAGAGGCACTTACAGGACCTTTGAGAAGAAAATTATTTTCTATTCCTAAGTTCCCAAGGATCACAGGTTTTGAGAAGGATCAGAGTCATCCCACCCATCACATCCATCACTTTGTCATTAATAAATATTTGTGTTCACCCGTGCTCACATTGTGCTGGTCTCTTACTCCACTGTCAGGGAGTCCCTGCCAAGGATCTCACCTCAGTTATTTCCGGAAGTCCCAGCGGGTGGCCCATGTGTCCAGGGAAGCTCGGTCCTTCTGGCTCCCACACCATGTTTGCTCTTCCTTCCACAGCCCCAGCTTTCTGCTCTGATGTCTACAGACAAGCTTTGAAAGCTCCTGCCAAGGCTGGTGTCTGTGTCAGGCCCACTGTCTCCATCCAGGGTCACGCTGTCTTCCCCGCTGACCCAAGGAGAACGCCTGTCTCTTTTTACATCCTGTTTGCAAGGCGAGACCACCTTGCCTCTCAATACAGAAGATGATGTTAATGGAATAATTTCAAGTTTTGTTTTCTTCTGTTTCAGCTTCTATGCATACAGGTTCTGGCCCAAGCTCCAAGGTATAAAGAAGAGTATTGAGAAACTTCTGAGCCATTGCACTCAAGCTGTCCCTTTATTTTCCACATTATTCCTCCTGTCCCATTAGAACAGTGCCCCAACACTGTTCCTTTGGGATGATGTTCACTAAAGTATTGGGCACAAACACTGGTAAGGATGTGTTAATTATCTATCATTTCAAGGCACCGCAAACCTGACAATGTAATTTTGTTCAACCGTGATTGTTAGGTTCCAAATATTTTTGAAAGCCTCAGAAGGACAAAACCCTCAAGATCAATTTAAACAAGTCATGGTGGAAAATTGGTCGGTCAGAGACAACTTAGCTGCACTTGCTGAATTGAGTAAAGGGCATCTATTTGATGCAGATAAGGGATGTGACCAGGAGGAGGACGCTAACTGAATTAAGTCCTTAGAAGATGCCTTTCCTCAGCTACAAGGAGATTTCTGAAAATCGTAGAGGAAAAGGATGAGAGAGTGCCTTGATTTTTTTTTCCTTTTAAGTCTGTGATGTGGGGAAAAAAAGATGAAAGAGAATGACAGGAAGTTGGCATTGAGTGAGCCGAACAGCAGCTGTCTCTTGGATCTGGAGAGTCTAATTAATTTATTTTTGGGCACTCAGCAAGGCTGGCCACAGGCTCTGGAAGGACCCAGGCTCGTATTCATGGTTGGAATGAGTATGGCCGGTGAGTGAGGCCCTGTCCTTGAGTTAGTTGGCGTTGGTGTTAGAGGAATCTGTGGAGAAAGACATCGTAACCAGGGGTTTTATTGTTTTTAGATTTTCTCCATATCATATTTCAGTGCCAATGTCTGCCTGAAGTAATGGAAATAGTTAAATGATTTGTGATCTTTTAGTATAACAGCTGCTTTCCATCGAAGAATTCGTCTTTGGGTTCCCCCCAAAGCAGACCCCAGGCAGAGACTTGGATGCCAGCAGTGAGATCAGCGGAAGCTTCATTCAGGGCGCAGGGAAGGGAGCCAGGGGAAGGCGAACCCGGGTCACTGAAGGTGTGTGAGTGAGCCAGTTGTCACTGTCGGCGCCTGGGTCCAGTGTACTAGGGACCCTATGAGAGGCAGGATCAGCTTATCTCAAAATTGCCCCTGGGGGATGAGGTGACCGCGGTATTTGCCTACTAATTCTTGTCCTGTATTACTTACAGATCACCTGTGGAAGTGTTAGCTCCCTGGCCTGCCCCAAGAGAGGGCCAAGTGCAGAGAAAGAGGAGTGTCTGGGAACTGTCACCAAACAGCAGGTGACCTATGGGATGGGCTGATGGGGTGGGGTAGGACATTGGCCGGTATGAAGTGCATCCATAATACCCCAAAAGACTAACAGCCTACAACAGGACATGCCTCCTAAGGCGGATTGAATAACTAGGGCTCATTTGGAGAGACAGCCATCCAGGACAGGGGACACCATAAAACTGACCCAAACAGAATTGCTCTTGGCGTCAGTGACCACAGGTACCCATGCCACCTTGCATCAGAATACCAGCCTCTAGCCTCTCTTTGCTAGCTGCCTTTAATTAGTTGGACCCAGGACTTGGTGATGTCCAGGTAGCGATGGAAAAACTAGAGAGGTACAAGGAAGGACCCCGGAGGGGGTTTTAAGGCCATGACAAGCCAGAGGCATCTCTGTGACTCTGAGCGTATTCTTGCTATAACAGGTATTCTTTGCATTAAGAGTAATGAATCACCCCTTATTTAAAACATGGTGAGTAGTTGAGATTATTAAGAGTTAAAAAAAAAAAACTGCCTTGTCCTGGAAGGAAGGGAGTTGGTCAAATACTAAAATTCACACTTAATTCCTCCACAGCCAGGCTGTGGACAGACAGAGAATGGAGAGTTACTTTTCGAACTCAGAGCACTCCTATGAGCCATGCTATTACTAATTGCTCGCATTTATTGAGCAGTTACTACATGCTGGGCTGGGTTGTGCTCTTTACGTGTCTGACCGCACCGACCCCTCAGAGTAACCCAGTCGGAGAGGTATTCGGAATGCCCCCAGTTCATATGTGCAGGGAGCGAGACTCAGGTTAAGTAACCTGCCTCGGTCCTGGGAACAGCAAGGGCAGACCTGGGATCTGCAGTCAGGTACGACTTCATGAACTTGAGAAGTTCTGTAAGGGGACCACCAAGCTCAAGTATGCCCTCTAAAGTGGTTTGCATATAGGTGGGCCAAAGGGTAATTGAGTTGTTACTGTGAGGTTGGGGTCCTGGGTTTCGAAGTGCCACGTGTGCTAAGTGGTTGGAGCAGCGCCTGCTCTGTGGACCACTTCCTGCCCTGACGTTCCACATGTGGGTCCAGACTTCCCAGGAGCGGGAGGCTCTGGAGCAATGGTGTCCTGGGAGTCAGGTGATTGAGATGCTTACTTTGGGTTCCACCCTCGGCTGGCTGTTTGACTTCAGGCAAGGGACTTAGTCACCAGGGAACCTACTTTTCTCATCTGTAAAATGAGGATAATGAGACCTGACTCCTGCCTTCCTCGCAGGGAGGGCAGGAAGCTTCCTGAGATCACCTCCCCAGAGCCTTTTGATCTGCTTGAAAGAATCCCCCTTAATTGCCTGGCCAGGCACTCGAGCAGCTGGGCGAAAGTTTTATGACCCGAGATTCCCACAGCCCATAATCCACATGCTTCCAGAAGCCCTCTGAGGTTCTCAACCAGAGATTCGGCTGGCGGACGTCCTGCCAGGCCATCAGCAGAGATTTCTCAGAGCCTTAGTCATGTAATAGGCGGTTTCCCAGGGAAACTCTTGCCAATGCATCCACTTATTCATGTAGTGTTTCTTAAGAGCTCTGAAGCGCACACAGCAATTTCTCACCCCTCCCCAGACCTGTCCGCAGCAGTCAGTTCTGGCATCGTGGAAGGCTGCCAACCCTCAAGGACAGCTCCAGGACACTTTAGCCAGAGCTTGGATGTGCTCTGTGCCCTCTGGTCCCAGTTTTTAAAAGGCTCCTTCAAGTGAGGAGTATGTCCACCTTCTCATTTCTTGTCTGGACCGTCACAAACATCTAAAGACTCTCCGTGCCCCCAGCCCCGAGCTCTGTCTCTGTCCGCCACACTGTAACCTGATACACACGACGGGTTGCATTTCTCCTTAAAATCCATCAGTGCTTCCCTATGGGCCACACCATGAAAATGGAACAAATTAACTTGGCATTTAAAGCCTTGCTCGAGCTCAAAATCTGGCCCCACCTTTCCCCTCTTTCCTCATTCTTCACCTCTTCCCATGGTTGGTTCATGGACTCAGTCAGCCATTCTACTTTATTGGCTTATCACCTCCTGTGTGACAGGTGCTGTGTTACACCCTAGGGACCAAAATAAGACCTCTGTTCTCACGAAGCTCACAGCCTCATGGGAGATACAGACACGTACACTGGTGAGTGCTGTGAAGTTCTATAAGTGCCATAACATGGGGGATGGAGGGTGGACAAGAGCCCAACGGAGGGGGTCTGAGTCTGCCTGGGGCGAGGGTATGATGCCCGGGGCACTCAAGGATGAATAGGATGCAGCCTGACAAAGAGCCGGGGTGAGTGGGGGGAGTGGAAAATGTGTCCCATCAAGATGATTTTGACATGAAAGAGGGTGCAGAAAATTGGGGAGACTCACATGGCAATTCATGGTTTGGGAAGAAGCCCAGTTTCTGAAGGCCCTGGTGAGCCTTGTTCAGATGCCTGGACCTTATCCTGGAAGAAAAGGGACCAGAAGCAGGAAGGTCGTGTGGTCTCCACCCTCCTGTCTGGGCAACCTGGGAGGTCCTCTCAGACTCCCAGGCCACCTACCCCCTTCCACCCCCCACTGCCCCTGCCTCCTTCCCCTGCTCTGCCCATTTTCCTCCTGCTGGGGTTCTATCCATCTGTCATGTTCCCTTCAAATGCTATCTGGACCTGGGGTCAGAATTCACTGTTCCTTCCTCTGAGCACCTGGAGTCCATTACTTGTATGCTACCTTTTATTGTATTCCACTTTATATTTTATGTCAGTCGCAAATGTTCATCTCCTGCACTGGACTGGGAGTTCCTTAAAGAGCGTGTTAACTCTAGAATATTCACACCTGCATTTCCCACAGCACTTAGCTTACAATGCTTTGAGCCAGGACTTTCTCAAGCTCCCATTCCTCTGCTTATTAGCAACGTGATCTTGGACAAGTCATTTTATCTCTAAGACCTTGAGTTGTCTCATCTATAAAATGGGGATAATGATTTTTATGGCATAGGATAATTGTGAGGATTAAGTAAAGTACCTGGTTAACACTCAATAAACATTAGTTGCCCTCCTCCCTCCTCCCTCCTCCGCTCTCTGGCTCATAAAGATTGCTGCAACATCTTGGGAGAGCATCCCTGAGGGAGGCGTGCCTCACTTTTCCCGTGGGTCCAGAGGAAGTATCGGGTGCACATGCGAGATCCCATCTGCACCAGTTTGCTGAGCACCTGTGCAGAAGGGCAGGACATCAACATCATTGTGTGGAGTCTTGGTTATCAGTGGCCGTCGACGCCACCCACTCTAATCTGATTTTTTTTTTTGACATCATCCATGGAACACTTGTCCTTAGTGTAAATAAAAAGAAAATGCTGGAAAGGAGTTGTGAAAACAAATTAAATCATGTGAGTCTCCTTGTCTGGGATTATGCCCTAAACCAAGGTGGGCTCCCAGGGAGAGGAGATACGGTGGTCTGTCTATGAGTTTTGCCCTTGTCTTCCTGGGCACTGCTCAGCCTGTGTACAGAATCTGTACTCTAGGGTGATAAGGGTCATTGTCATGGCTGTGGCTGTCTTGACATTTCCGTCACCGGCAGCAGCCTCCTCCCCTTCCCCCTCATCACTGCCTGGATGGGGGGCAGGGCAGATCCCCACCTCCTCACCCTCCATGCTGTTCTCTATAGACCCCGTCTGCATGCAGCCTCCTAAGTCCCTGTGCTGCGTTTGTAAGAGCTTGAGTCTTACAGCAACCCTGTGAGGCAGGTAGAACAGCTTCCATAATTGTGATTGGCGAGAAATCGCGGTGCAGAGAAGTCGGGTGACTTGCCCAAGTCACAGCGTGAGCTGGGAAAGGAGTGGGGGACATGCAGGGCTGGGGTTGAGTCTCAGGTGGTCTAAAGCCTGAAGAAGGTTGTTTGAAAGAGAAGACAGCCTTGTTCCTCAGCTGCCAGCACTGCCGATATAATGTCACTGTGGTGTCTGAGGAATTTTTTTAAGCACGAGTGGAAGCCAATTCCTTTTTCTACCTCCTTTTGGCACTTGGAAAACCCACTGTGTGCCTGGGACCTATAAGTGCTGGCTGTTTGAATAAAGACTGAAGGAGCCCATGAAGACTAAAAAGGAGATAAGGGTTTATGGGGCTGGTGTGATTTCTGGAATGTTCCATAGGTGCTTCTGACCTTCCTGCCTGGCTCAAAGACATGTCAGATCCCATGAGCACAGCCATCGCCTGTCACCGAGGAAAGTGCCCGAGACAGGCCTTCTCCCTCTGCTGCTTTACTCTTATGTCTTCATGGGAAGAGCAGACACGCTGTCATTTTGAGCATACTGGGAAAGGCTGATGTTCATTGGGTCGCGTTTGTCTGTGGAGCAGGGTTAATGTTTGAGTCTTCCCGTCTCTTTCTTCCTTCTGGACCTGCCTGGGTTCTGACACGTTCCTTGCATTTTGCTCTTCATGCTTTAAATTACCCTCCCTCTCCCTGCAGGTGTTTTAGGAAAACTTTTGGCCAAAGAACAGAGATGATTTTTTTTTGTCAGCCTCTTAATTAATTAAAAAAAAACAACACTTCAATCAGGTAGGGTGTGAAAGGTTTAGAATTCTAGAAGACACACATCAGCAGATGGATTTTTCATCTAGACCCTTTCCATTTTCTTCTCAAGATAATATTGGGATATATTAGGTGTTACCTGCACCGCCTTCTCCACTGTCTGCTGGAGAGAATTTGTTGCTTGACCTGTGAGCACTGTGTGGGTGGGCTCGGTTTGGGGGGAGGTAGGAGGCGCTGGGGCGGGGTTCTCAAACTGTACATCACAGTCATCCTGGCCGCTTGAGTCCGAATCCCCTGGAGATGGCCTGGCCATGGGGAATTTAAAACCGAATCTCCTCCTATCTAGAATATGGATACGGATGACATATCCATATTCTAATATGCAGTATGAACCTCTGCTCCCAGGCAGCCTCCATTTCAAAAGATTATTACATTTAAACAAAGTGATTTTTTTTCATCTCTACTAAGAGTTCTATTATTATCTAGTGGGAATAAGCACCTATTAAGAGAAGCACCTAGTACTTAGTGAGAGGAGTACTCTAGTACCTAGTGAGAAAACCACCTAGTACTTAGTACGAGAAGTACCTAGTACCTCATGAGAGAAGCACCTAGTTCCTGGTGGGAGAAGAAGGGGTGAGAAACAGCACTTTCAGCTCCAACACCTCCTGAGAGCCTGAGATTACAGACCTTCACCGTTTAACCCTCACACTAACCGTTCAAAGTAGGTGCCACCATTCAAATGGGATTCAAACGAAGAGACTGTAGCTCGGAGTAGTTTAGGGACATGTGGGGGCTTACGTGGTGGGGAAGGGTAGGACCAGGGTTTGAATGTAAGCCTGCTTGGCCCCAAGGCCCAGTTTCTTTGCTCCCTACCTATGGACCGCACCCCGGGGCCCCTTCAGCTCTCTTACAGCCCCCGTGGTGGCAGTTTGGAGCCCTTTCTTCTCCCAGGCCTCTGGATGACAAGCTCTGTTATAATCAAACCCTCCGGATTTCCCTGGCAACCCTAGTGCCCGAGGCTCCTTTCCTCTTAACCCAAAGGACGACACAAGATTCCTAGAATTCCCCACCATTGGCATCCCTCAGCCTGTGCCTCAGAGTAGTGGCATAACGTTTTCCATCTGATCTGCATCCTAATTTTCAGCTGGGAAAAAGTCCCTGTAACTATAGCTCCCACGGAACTCATTTCCCAGAATTCCTCCAAGAACCTGGGACAATTGAGTGTAAGCAACACAGAAATGTGGACACTCTGTAACACTTTCTGACTCTTCCTGCCAGTTCATCCCATTCTCCTCAGCTGGGTGAGAGCTGTCACGAGGCTGGCGTGGCAGCCTGGGAGGAAAGGTGACAGGGCCTCTTGGTCTCCATTAAATGCCAATTTTATACAAACTGTACAAGAAGATGGGCTTCCCAGAAGCACGATGCTATCTACTTAGGGTTTTGACTCACCGGAAACTGCATATGCATCAACAGTACAATCTGACGTCCCCACTCTGCGCACACCCGATGTGGCCCTAGGCTATATTCCTACGAGTGGTCCTGTTCTGTTGAAAGTCAGGCCCATCTGGGGGATCATGGTCAATTCTGGGCATTGGCTTAGGGGAGAGCATGCACAGACTGGAAGATCTTTAGAAGATGGCAGCTGGCATAGGGAGATTTGAAGTGGTTTAGCAAAATGAAAAGAAATAAAACTAAGACAGTCTGGAGACCTTGGAGTGGGCTTGGGAAAGAACAACAGGTATATTCTTTATGGCCTCAAGAGCAGCACACTGTGCATCAGGCTGGGCCAGGCTGTGCTGCAGTAACAAAACCAGCCACAGAGACCACAGTGGCTTAACATGATATTGGTTTCTCTCTCACACCGCTAAAGCACAAGGCAGATTGTGCATTCTCTTTAATTTTGTAAATAGCAGTGACACCATCTGGAATATACGGCCTGTGGGCAGCTACTGCTGGGGGAGAGAGAGATGGGAGAGGTATGGCCACTTCAAGTTGCCTCAGTCTGGATGTGCCGAAGATATATGACCAGTGAGACCGAAAACATTTACTATCTGGCACTTTGCAGAAAGTTTGCTAACCCTGACATAGAGAACCAGCTGGCTTCTGACGTCTCTTCCTTTTCTTCATTTGAGCTGACTTCTGTAACACTATATGCCAAGCGCTGTTTTAAATGTTCTGCAAATATAAGGTCATCGGCTCCTAGGATAACCCCACGAGGTGGATCGTATCATCTCCACTTTCAGATCAGAAAATTCACATCTAAAGACATTCAGTGAGTTGTCCGAGGTCGCATAATTAGGGTGTGGCTGATCCAAGATTCAAGTCCTGGCATTGGGGTTCCAGAATTCTTGCTCTGACCACTACACTATGCATGTCACACAAGCTTGTTAAGGAAACAGGCTTGAGACGCAGGGGGCGGTGAGAGTTTGGAATCCACAGAAATCATCAGCTCCCAGGGAAGCAGAGCTGGAAGAGGGCTCAGACAGCACCAGAACCAATGCCCCCTCCTTTGTAGGCGATGGCCAGACTTCTGGAAAGACTGGGGCCCACAAGGGGAAGGGAGGTCAAACTCTCCCAGAAAGATCTTGGGGCTCCAGAAGGTAAAAGGCTAGGGAGAGGTGACTGGACCAAAGCTCTTTAAAAATGATAACTTCCAAAAATTGTTTAATTATGGAAATTTTAAAACATACCCCAAAGTAGAAAGGACCCATGCAACCTTCACTCAGCTTAATGATGATAGACTTTTGCTAATCTCATTTCATGTGTCACCTCCCAATGATTTCAGAGTAGAGAATAGAATTTTTAAAATAAATCCCAGAATCCTGTTATTTTACCCATAAACAACCCAGGGTCCGAATTCATTTTGTTGGAGGATTTGGGGGAGAAAATGAAGCCTCGATCAGCCCTCTGGGGGAAGGGAGCTGCTGTTCTCTGCAACATCAAAGGAAGGTCTGCACACACCTGTCCAGCTCTGGTCCTTGATTCCGGGCTGTGGCCTCCCTCCCTTGTGGGTGATGCCAGGGCCTTTCAGACTCGGGCAGCTCCTAGTGGATTAAAAAACACGTTGTGAAATGCTGTCTGTAATTAGAACGAAAAAAAAATGTCTTGAGTGGATCTCTTATTCACATTGTCCTCCTTTCCGGAATGCAGCCTCCTGCCCTCTGTGGGGCCTCTGAGCCCTGCCGGATGAGTGTCCATGTCGGCTGAGTCACCTGTGTTGTTCCTATTATCTTATTTACTCGGGTTTGTCATTTTTGAGCAGCATGACTCACCCAGCCCAGAGGGAACTGGAGAGCCTGGAGAGGTGAGTCTGTTATCCAGCCCTCACAGCCACTCCTTTGGAAATGAAATCCTTTCCCTTTGAATTCTCATCTGAGCACCAGAATGAAGGGACTAGCAAGGCCGAGGAGGCTTTTGGATCTTTCAGAAGGGCTGCTGGTCAGGTTGCCTGGCTCTGGGGTGGGTCTAGCAGCCTCATGGGATTCTGGGAAATTCTCGCTCCCACTCCCCGACCTACCTCTGGGTCTTCCCAGAGTCTGTCATTTTCCATGGTGTTGGACTGGGCCCTTCCGTAGCCGAGGAGAGAAAGCTCTCTGCTCAGCTCCCACAGAAGCATCCTCCTCCGGAGGCAGGCAAGGCGAGAAGCAGGAGGGGGGCCAATGGCGCGTGCCCACTCTGCCCCCTCCCAGGCCTGATGACATCACCCCTGTGTGCTGTTGGCCCCCCAGGCTGGGCGTGGGTGCTGCGCTTGGTTCCCCATCCTGCCCGGCTTGGAAGAGAGCTGGGGAGTCCTTTGATGGCATTTCTGGACCACAACAAACACTGGGCCTCCCTCCCATTTCCAGGTGGGAGCCCACCACCGCCCTGTCATCCACAGCTGTGTTCTTCCACACAGCAGCCGGAGTGATCCTTCCCCGTGGTAGGACAGATCCCAACACTCCCCTGTTTAAAACTCTACAGGGGCTTCGCTGGCATGTGAGATAAAATTCATATCATCACCATGACTTTCAGCCAAAGTGCGCTCCACCAGCCTAGGGGTAGGGGGTAGGGCAGGAGGCCTTGTTAGAGACGGAGTCTCAGGTCCCACTCCAGACGCGCTGAATCAGAAGCAGCATCCATATCTCATTAAAGCCTGAGACACCCCCACGACCTACAAGGGCCCAGTGGATGGAGCCTCACTTTGACTGCGTATCAGAATCACCGGGGGAGTTTTTACAGCGGAAATGCACAGCCCCACAGGCCTCAGGGATCCTGATTCAATGGCTCCTAACTGCTACCCGGAAGGTAGGTTTTACTGGTCCTACATCTGCAACTGAAGAAGCCAAATCTCGGAGAGGTTAAGCATGGCATCCAAGGGCACCGCCACGCAGAGGCTGAGGCTGCTGGGTGGGTTTGTCTCTGGCTGCAAAGGCAAGAGGAACTGAAAGTATGGGCTCTGGATTCAGGCTTGTGTGGGACTTGATTCCTGCAGCACCTCGTACAAGCTGGGCAAGTCATTTATCATCTGAGCTTCATTTTCCTTATTTGTAAAACAACAACTGATATCACAGGAAGATTAAATGAAATAACGTGTTTAGGACTAGTGCTTGCAACATGTTAAGAGCTCAGTAAATGTTACCTGCCACTATTGTCATTGTTGCTTATTATTCTTCATCCTCAGTTTTTTGGACCCTTTATGCAACAGAAGCTCTGAATTTTCTGGCTCTCGGATTTTTCTCTGTTGGATTATGAGGCCAATGTGGCACAGTGAAAATGGCATGAGACTTGGAGTTCTCTTGTTTGCTGTGTGATTTAAGCAGGGCACTTGGCCTCTCTCATCCTGTGTTCCTTATCTGTGAAATGGGGACATGAACACTCATCCCCAGAGTTGCAGAGAATGCAGGCTGTGATGTCAGGCCTGATCATTCCGGGCCTTAATAGGCTGAAATGGGCTGAGCTTGTTAGAATGTGAGTCGTGGGTACACGATCAAATCCTTGTCCTTGAAATTTCACCCTACGCATAGCAATAACCTTGAGCAACAGGGCTGCTGAGGGAGAGGAGAGTTCCTCTCTCCTGACAGGAGTCCACTATTGGCTTTCCAGGTGGGTCCTACTCTCTTTTCTAGTGTTGAGGGAATTGGGGACCCAAAGGTGAAATGCAATGGGCCACCAACCAGGGACACCTTAGCCCCATCCGAGAGGCAGAGAACACAGGGGCCCCGCTGCCTGGATGCACATTGATTCTACCTTTACTAGCTGTGTGACTTTAGGCAAGTGGTTTTACCTCTCTGTTTTTCATTTTCCTTGACTGTAAGGCCATACCATCTACCCCCCTGAGTGACAGTAAGGGAGGAATGAATTAATAAGTGCTTGGAGTCACGTTCAGCATCTTGCAAGGGCTCTGAAACAGCTCTACACTCCTTCCCCAATGAGCTGAAATGTCTCTTTTGTGCTCCCACCTAATGGGGCTTGCAATGTTCTCTGTTAATCTCATTTCCCCATGAGCTCATCTGTATTCTGGGTGCCTAGCAGCAGAGAGCTGGATACATACTTGGTGTTTATTATTATTGTTTTTGTCAGGAGGAATGAGAGAGCTCGGTGGTTAGTGAACAGGAGCTGGACACCTGCAGACCAGTGTTACAGGAATTAGACTCCGGTCAGCAAGACCTGCAGCCATGGTCGAGGAATGCCAGGTCCCAGGCCGGGAGCAACCCTCATCGCATCAGTGGGGCAGAATTACTCAAGTTACTCACCGCCTGTGCTGTGCCTGGGGCTGGGCGTGTGCGCTCCCCTCCCTTAGGCCCATGATGTTGGAGAGATGGGCAGGTGACAACTCACCACCGGGAAGAAAACATTCTCACGGTCTGCCAATCACTGAAGCCTCAGAACTTTATTTCTCTCATCAAAGTCTCCTTCTGTCCGCACTGAGTCGGGCAGAGAGGAAGCTTTCAGAATCTTCGGAGGGGAGCATCTGTCAGAAGAGCAAATTTTTCTCTTGCTAAAACTGACACTGTCCCATTTTAGGCAATCGAAATTCTCTCTTTTTACCACATTCTAAGTCGCTTAGGAGTCCCTTCTTGTGAGGAGGTGAGAAAAACCCTCCCCTTCGGATATTTGCATATTAAGTTTTAAAAAAAATTTAGTATTTATTTATTTTAATACAAAGCTTCGGCATTAGCAATTTTTTGGAAAAAATAAAGTGTACAAAAATATCATATTAAGTTTTAATTTAACAAATGCTCATGCAGCACTAGTCTGCAGGCACTATTGCAGGACTTCATAACTATTAGCTGATTCTAACCTTCAAGATGACTCTTTGAGGCAGGTAGCATTATCCCATTTTATAGATAAGAAAAACCGAGGCGCAGGGTGGTAATTGTCCAAGGCCCACAGCTAGTATCACAGAGGCGAGCGTCTCCTAGCTTGGCTCCAGAATCTGGGTCAGATCCTGAGGCTGTGTTATCTCAGTTTAAGTCCTGCAACTTTCATTTAGGTCTGCAACCACCCGCAAGGTAGCTCTCACTCCCATTTCCTCAGAGGACCCTGCGGCTCCAAGACGTTAACTTTGCTCAAGGTCACACAGACTTAAGTGACAGGGCTGCAGTGGGCATTTGCTTTTGTCTGACCCCAAAGGGACAGCAGGCTGAGCTAACTGCTCCATCCACGGAGGAATGATGTTCTACCTTGAGAGGCGTCGACACCAAGGGCGCTTCCCTCACAGCTCCTGTGGATGGTCAGGAGCTCCCACGACTCAAATTCTCCTTCTTTCTCTTTTTCATTTTCTTTCTTTATCCCCACTTCTCACAGTTGGTTTGGAACCTGTAGTTGAATGTTGGATGGTGGTACTGACGACCAAAGGCGTCTTTGTCTTGTCATTCACACTGTTTTCCAAGGACGTTGGTGATGTACTGCTGGCTCCTTGGGGGAATAGGCAGAGCCCTGCAGGAGGAGGAAGAGGATGGTGGTGCTGACAGTGGCTCTGCCTCTTGCTTGCAGGGGAACTTGGACAGGTTACGTAACTTGTCCAAGCTTCAGTGTTGATGTCGAGTTGGACAAGATTTAGGGCTGGTTGATTCGATTTTTTAATTTAGTATTTTTTAAGCTGCAGAATATTTAAATTATAAGGAATCTTAGAAGTACCTCCAAATACTCCAGATACCTCCAAAATGGTATTATGGGGGCCATGAAGGGCTCTGCAGAGCTCAAGACTGGAAATCACTGGATCAGGTGATACCAGACTTTGCATGACAATGTGAACTGGGGTATCAGTTTCCTAGAACAGCAGTAATAAATTACCATAAATTTGGTGGCTTAAAATGACAGAAATATATTCTTTTATAGCTCTGGAGACCAGAAGTTCAAAATCAAAGTGTTGGCAGAATTGTAGTCAGTCCATGGGCTCTAGGGCAGACTCCTTCCTGGCCTCTTCCTAAACTTCTGGGGGCTCTGGCCATCCTTGGCTTTCCCTGGTTTGGGACTTTATCACTCCAGTCTCTGCTTCTGTCTTCACATGGCCTCCTCCTCTGTGTTCTGTGTCTTCTGTCTCTTACAAAGGACACTTACCATTGGATTTCGAATCCACCTGGATAATCCAGGATGTCCTCAACTCAGGATCCTTAACTTACATCTGCAAAGACCCAAATAAGGTTATGCTCAGAGGTTCCAGGCAGTTAGGACATGAACATATCTTTTTAGAGACCACCATTCAACCCACTACAATCAGTGATGACTTGTAAGCATCTACCATGTGCTAAGCATCCCAGGGATACAGAGATAATCAAGACAAAAATGCGACTCCCTGAGAACCTCTAGGCTTGTTTGACAATTTCTACTTAATTTAAGGCATTTGCATTGATGCTTTCTTCCCTTCCTCCCTCCCTTCCCTTTCTTCCTTCCTTCCTTCCTTCCGTCCTTCCTTTTAAAGAGGAACTTATGGATATATAATTTACAAACAGTAACCTTTGCCCTGCATTGGTATACAGCTGGGGAAGCAGCCTTAGGGAGGTAAAATGCCTGCCTCCAGCGTACACAGAGAGGAGGAGGCAGCGGCCGGGATTTGAACCTATGCTCTCTCTTACCAGGGCTTGCGTCAGTCTCCACAGTCTCTAAGCTTCCTCTGGGCACCTCCAATTCCTAGTATATCAAGTCAGGAGGCTGACAGATGCTTTCTAGAAACCCTTAGAGCACTGCCCTTGGAAACTCCCATCATGAAGGACAGGGGAACACTCCTTATTCAAAGCAACCCTTCAGTGCGAGGAGACTTCCTGACATGGAAATCTGTATGCCTCCTATAAGCATCACCTGTTTGTGTCTGTAGGCCCCGGGAAGTGGATTTACAGCTTAGGATGTCTCATTTCAATTGAACTAATCCTCACAAAATGGACAAGTGATGTAAATGATTCCCGTGAAGAAACTGCAAGCTGCAGAGAGGACTAATGCTGCTGCCTGAGGGCACAGCAGAATAGCTGACTCCGTCCCTCCCCAACTCCTAGTGCTCGCTGCTTCTCAGCTAATGGCTGGATAAAAATAATGGCAGTCTGATTGCATCAATCACAGAGTTGGTCAAAAGACTTAAAATATTATGAAGAGACCATATTTGAAATATGGTCTCTCGTCCACTGTCCTTAATAATGACTCTCTTTGAGTGATCACTGTACGTTGACACAGCTAATGAAAGCGTGAAGCCACAGCAATTAGGAAGACATTTAGAAACTTTTTTCAACTGGTTAAAGTCATGATATATTTAACCCAGCCCCTTACAAATATTGATTAAATTTGATTAATTTTAAATTTATTACTTCAAAGTGAAAGGTCATAATCTATTGGTCAAACACTTATTCCTCTTGCTATGATGAAATGGCTGGAGAAATATCTGAACACTTCATAGTGACATCTTAACATGGACTCCTTGGTCATTAAATATTGTTGGAAGATGCATAGAACTTGTTGCTGAAGAGTTGAAGACAACTTAAATAATTCAGTGTGAGAGGTCTGCCATACAATTACTGGAAAGTCTAGAAGACTCCAACATAATTCAGCTTATATTATTTCTAGACTCTTCATTTCTGTAATGAATTACATTGGAGAACTTTTTCCTGTGAGCTCTTAAAGAAAAGATGTACCAGAAAAAAAAATTCTCTATAGTAAATGAGTTTCTAAACAAAAGCAATGTTTTTGGTATTTGTGTTGACTGGAATGAAAAAAATAGGTAAATTTTCAACTTAGTACCTAATATGAAATTTATCTGCCGTATTGTCCATGGCAAGTTAGTGAAGCCAGGAGGTTAAAGCCACAAAAGCACAGAGCACAAAAGAATTGCACTGATATGAATCATTATACAAGAAGTTTAAAATATAGCAGAATTTTTATGATACAATTAGGGAGTGCACCTGAAAATATTTTGTTCAAGCAGAGAATTCTCTCATTTTCTTTTAGCAAAATATTTGAAACAGTGAATGAACAAAAATCAAGGTTTCCAAATTGTTTGATCTTTTCAAGGATGACAAGGGACTGTTGGGAGTAAGCTATAATAGATACATTTGAAGAAAACAGAAGCATGCACTTAAATAGTCCCTTCAAGGTAAGTGTTATGATTTAATAATGAACAAGACAATAAACTGATTTTCTTTTTTTTTTTTACATTTTTATTGATTCATAATCATTTTACAGTGTTGTGTCAAATTCCAGTGTTCAGTACAATTTTTCAGTCATACATGGACATATACACACTCATTGTCACATTTTTTTCTCTGTGATTTATCATAACATTTTGTGTATATTTCCCTGTGCTATACAGTGTAATCTTGTTTATCTGTTCTACAATTTTGAAATCCCAGTCTATCCCTTCCCACCCCCTGCCCCCTTGGCAACCACAAGTTTGTGTTCTATGTCTATGAGTCTGTTTCTGTTTTGTATTTTTTTGTTTGTTTGTTTTGTGGGGTTTTTTTTAGATTCCACATAGGAGCGATCTCATATGGTATTTTTCTTTCTCTTTCTGGCTTACTTTAGAATGACATTCTTCAGGAGCATCCACGTTGCTGCAAATGGTGTTATGTTGTCAGTTTTTATGGCTGAATAGTATTCCATTGTATAAATATACCACCTCTTCTTTATCCAGTCATCTGTTGATGGACATGTAGGCTGTTTCCATGTCTTGGCTATTGTAAATATTGCATAACAGCACTATTCCTAATACTCAAACACTGCAATGTTCCGAAATGCCCACCAGAAGTGAAATGGATACACTCATTGTTGTGTATTCACACAAGACAGTACTCCACACAACAAGAATAAATAATCCAAGACAGCCTCAGTCACATGGATGAATCTCACAAATGAGATTTTAAGCAAAAGGGGCCAGGTGCACAAAAGGGTGCCTCTGATAGATTCCACTTATGTGAGGTTAAAAAAAAACATCAAAATTAATCCAAAAGTTAGGAGAATGAATTTTATTTACAAACCAAAAATAGATTCATGGTCATAGATAATAAACTATGGTTACCAAAGGGGAAAGGTGGTAGGAAGAATAAATTAGGAGTTTGGGATTAACAGATACACATTACTATATATAAGATAGATAAACAACCAGGACCAACTGTATAGCACAGGGACTATATGATAACATATAATGGAATAACATATCTTGTAATAACATATAATGGAAAAGAATCTGAAATATGCTCAAAAGTTTGTAACTGATATGGTACTAGATCCCAAAATGCTCAGAGGCCACTGGTCTAACCAGCATTTAGCCTTTAGAAACAGATTATTTTAGTTGATACGGGTCAGAGACCAGGGAGGTGAAGTTTTGAATCTTAGCGCTGCCACTTACTAAATATATGATTTTGAGCAATCAGTCAGTTAGTATCCGGATCTGGGTTTTCTCATTAGCAGAATGGGAATTTAATACCAACATGGAAAAGTTTCTTGGGATGATTTAAATGAGTCAATATATGTAAATTCCCTAGCACCTTGACTGGCTGGTGGAGGTTTAATCAGTAGTCACTACTACTGTCATTCAGTTGTTTACTAGTGTTTTCCAAACCTGCTTCATAGTAAGGATCTCCCAGGTGCTTGTTAAAAATGTTTGGGTCTCACCTCAGATCTTCTAAAGTAGAATCTTCATGGATGGGGCCTTGGAAGTTGAATCTTTAGAAGATGATTTTTATGATCATGTCAGATTTGAGAAAGACTGATTAATGAGGTGCTGAAGTTCTCTCCTTTAATGATCAGTCTCCATGCATCAGTCTTATCTCCTAAGAGCCATGAACTCCCATAGGACCATCTCTGTCCTGCCCAGGATCTAGCAGGGAGCGCTATCAGCCCCTGGATGTGAAGGCCAAGGTGAAAGCTCCACGTCTGGGATGATAAGGAAAACATGGGTCCTAGCAGGCAGAGCACAGCAACAGGGAGCCCGGGAGAGGCAATAAGCCGAGATCTCAGGAGGAGAGGGACAGCATGGAGAAGGAGGAGAAACCTCCGCCTCGGCCTGGGACTCCCAAGTAGGACTAGGTCCTTGGTGGGTAGAGTGGGTGACTCTGGCGGCAGAACATGGCACTCAGGTACACTGGGCCAGCTCTGAGTCATTAAATCCTAGGTCCAAAGTGGGAGTGGACCACAACTGAGAATAAAACCAGATGGGTCCAGGAGCAGGAGGACTTGGTGTTTTAGCATTTGATCTTGGCGGGAATCCATACTTTCCATTCCTGTTGACTTAGGAGAGATTGGTGTCTGAGTTGGGGGCCCGTCCTACGGATGAGGATGAAGCAGGCTAGAAGCATAAGAGGTGCCTGTGTACAAAGGATTACCCAGACGAGGTGCTTAACGCATACATGCACATGCAGCAAGAGACTGAGAAATCACGCTGAATCTTGTCTTGCCATCTTCTGTGCCTTCTCGTCCGGATTTCCCTAGTTCCTTACCTCGCTCTCCAGTGAGGACCGTCCTGGTGGAACAGCACAGAGCTGGCCTTCTTCTGTAGCACAGACACTTTGCTGTGTCCTGACCGCCCCGGGTTGCCCTCGCTCTGAAGGTGTGGATAATTAAGCTAATGAACACTTTTCCACTAGCTGCTGAAAGCCTCATTAATCTACACACATGTTACCACAGGCAAATGATGGCGTCAAGGGTGGGAGGATCAACAAAAATAACTTTAGAAACTCATTAATCAGACTTAGTCAAACACACTGTTTGGAACTGAGAGTTCTTATCCGCCAGGGGCCAGAGGATTAGATGGTTGTGTCTATTTTTTTTTCAATGACATGAAAGGGACTTCTTAAGCAATATTTTGAAACACCTAGGTTATTGTACTGGCATTTATGACTCTGGTGGTTGATACTAAAGGATTCTGTCCAAAGACATTGGTGTGGAGGATTCTAGAACTGTTAAATGCGCTAAACCAGATGATCAAGGTTTCCCAGCACAGAAGAGGGAAAACGTGATCATGGGATCAGACACAAGAAACATACCCAGCTGTGGCAGAGGTGGCTCGTGCCACCAAGCAGTCATTTTCTCCCCAGCATTTCCCAGGTGCCCCTGGACTCAGGTTGAAGCCACATGACTATTTCCTGCTCATGGATGGTGAGCAGGGGAAGTTGCTGCTGTGGCTCTGGTGGCCTTCTCTTTTTCTGCTGTGGCAGCCTCAGAAGCCAATGCCCCAGACTCAAAATAACCAGATGGAGAATTATTTGACCCCCTACTCGATTTCTTGGGCCTGAAGAATAAAGTATTCTGATAATCCACAGGGATGTCCTGACTTATCTGTTATTGCAGCAGAGTCTGCTCCATCCTGACTGATATGCCAACCATTTAAGGCCAAGAGCCTTAATTTGAATATGGTGATTGGACTAGCTGTCTCCTGATATCCTCATGAGCATTGTGTCTGGGTTTCACCCACGGCCTTCAACAGAATCTTCTATGGGTGAGTTGAGGTCTTTTTCCTACAAGTTGGGGTCATAAGAACTGAATGATAAAAGAGCTGCATGAATTCTAAGTTACTTGAATAACCATTTACCCTAAATGTGCTCATGAGCAAATCAACATAAGCCTTAGGGCCACATTCCCTGCTATGTATTGTTCAACAGTTTGATCAATGCCAACTTTTGATCTCTGAAGACAGAGATCTTCTGCTTTTTAAGTTTATGTGTTTGCCACAGAGAAGGAAGACAGTGAGTGCCTTGACTGAGAGAGTCAGAACACAAACTCTGCGGGCTTACTAGACAAGATGGGCAAAAAGCATCACGTAGGAATATGTGACATGCAGATTTGACCTCCAGAATCACAGGAGAGGAAGGATGAGGTTCAAGAGCATTGACAATAGCTGTAAGTAGGCCAATATTATTACTATTACTACTACTATTATTATTATTTTATTTAAAATAGCTGTAAGTAGGCCAGTAACCAGGGCCAGAGACCAACTATCCTCTACAGCTCTAATCATCTTTTCCTCCTCAATAATCCTGGTACCTAAAGACCTAGTTAGGAGGCTGGGAGCAGGTAGGCTAGGGAGAGACAAGAGAAAGTACAGGTGGTCTGGGATTCAGTTGGGAAAATTTCCAACTCTTTTGATAAAGTTGAACTCCGGTCCTTCAACGTTGGCAATGAAAGGCGAATCTTGAAGACAGAGATGCCGGTTGTAAGAACAGGTAGGAAATGAATCTACACTAACCTAAATGGAGTAAAGGAAAAATCTACAATTGTGGGAAGTGAGGGTGGAAGTTGGTTTGGGGTTAACAGGTGAGGAGCCCTGACTGTCATGCCTCAGGGTATGAATTGCAGGCAATGGGGAGCCATGGGCAACATTTGAGAGAGGGAGTCATGTGATTTGATCCAGTTATGCTTTACTCTCTTTCCATTGCCAATGTCCAGTCTCTCCTTTCTTTCTTATAGTTTGGAGGATATTCATGAGGGGCATGTTAAGTTGTTCAGTTTTAGGCAGTAACATACACATTGACTCATTTAATCCTCACAACAATTATGTGAGGTAGGTATAACTGTACCATTTACAGGTTAAGAAACTGGGACCTAGAGAAGTTATAAAATTTATCCAAAGATTCTCAACCCCTCTCTTCTGGATAACATGCTGTTAGGTATTGGCAGACACCCTCTTTCCTTTCCTTTTAGCTCTGAGAACTTGTTTTATCCTGCTTGGTGAAACCGAATAGAGT